AAGGAACACCACATACCTGAGATAGCTAGCACGGTGCCAACATCCTGAGATGTCAAACTTAGTCCATGATATTTTCTACTGCTCACAGCCCAGAGTGAAAATATCTGAAGATGAAATTTAAAAACACATGCAAAGTTGCTTTAGTTCCTTATTAAAAAAAGTTGGTTTGGTTCCTAATATGATTGTTCCCTATAGGATAGATATGATGAATACAAGCATCTTTTCATACTATGCTTAATCCATTTCAGATACCTAAATATAGATTTACCTCGAGATAAGCTGTATCATGAAGAGAGAAGACACAATAGAGGGTTATTGCTGACATCAACTGACGATTCTTTAGCAGGCTCTTCGTAGATGCCATTCTATCGGATCCAAATTGTTTAGCTTTCCCATCTTCTATGTTTAAATCGGTGACTGGTGCACCCATTGCGTCAATAGCTTCCATTTCCTCATCATGGTACATGTGCAGAGTTTCCTTAAAAAAACATTTATTCAAGTATAGGAATTCAAGGGTGATAAAAGAATCACATGGAGATTTTGGGGGGCAATACCGGAAGCCAAATGCATGCAACACCCGCTGCTGCCGCTAGAGCTGATATGACGAGACAAGGGAGGAAATATGGAAACCTATAAGTAGATGTAATTTGACAGGTTTATCTTACATTCCCAATGATGCAAAATTTATATCACTGAAACAGTATGAGTGATAATTTACCTTCCAAATATGGATTCCTCTAAGAAAAGATTTGGGTACTTCTTTGCAGGCTGATAGAGGGCAGAGAATACACAATGTTAGCGAAAGCCATTCATATAAGATCACTAATCACTATCCAAAGGGACATTATATGTTCATCCTGCGAAAAAAAGTTCTGCTTATCACTTTCAACGATTAAAATATAAATATATGGAAATTCCCTCGGAATAAACCATTTCTAAGCTTTCATTGAAATGCCATGATAGAAAAGTTCTAGCTATTGGTCAAGCTTTGCGTTTTTGCATCAATTATAGTAGATGATACATTATTCTCAAGCTCTACACCATGGTTAAATATAATTATGGCGACTTAATGTGTTATTGCAATAATGAATTTGATGGACTACCATATGCAACATCTTTTCCATGCGCTTGGAAGCTACTTGACCTTAGTTTGGTAAACTGATTAAAAATACAACTTTAGTTTTTCGGGGCTAGTTATATATTTCTTTAACTCTATATCAAAGTTGACTGATCCTTACTCGTGCAAGAAATCCTCCAATGGCTGGACCAATAATAAGAGCTATTGATCGCGAAGATGTAACCTGTGACATAATGATAAACATAATTATCAGCTAATAATTGAGTCTGAAACACTAAACATAAAGATGCATTGTTCTTACAAGAGAAATTCCTAGAGCTTGGTGCTCTTTCCTGCAGACTTCTGAAGCATAGGCCTAAGGAATGCAAACACAACCATGGGTGTTAAACAACTAAGTACTTCTTAATTCATCTAGTCACTAAGAGACTAGCAAATTACCTTGATTGGTCCTAATATACCACAGAGTAACCCAAGTAGCCCCCTAGTAATAATTGCCATCCAGTACGTCGTGCTAAGGCCGAAGAGTGTGTTAAATACAATCCTGAAAAGGAAGATGTATAATAGGGTTTACTTTGACTTAATTGAAAGGAGAACAAAATAAGTTTTCATATGTAACTGAATCTGCCATACACTGAGAGGATACTAATCATAATGCAAGGCTTCCTCCCATATTTGTCAGCAAACATGCCCCATGGCACAGCACTAGTGGTTCTTCCAAGGAAATATGCAGCCCCTTAAGACAGATAGTGTACAGTCAGTAACTACGTATTGATATAAAAACACTGTGGTCACGTTATAGTCTACTCAATGTACTTTATTGTAGGCTCTTCTTCCTGTGTTTTTCCCAAAAAAAATGTCAATTGGTCTGAGGGGACAATTAGTGCTCACCGACAAAACCAGCATAGAACCCAATGTCTTCTTCTTGCTTTGCGACGTTCAAGTCCCTAATCTGTTGCATCATAACAAAGGTGAATATGTAATTAATAACCACTTAGTTTGTAATAATTCATAAAAGCAAACAGTAACTTGCGTGCACATAGTCAGAATATATAGATGCCCAAGTTATGCAACATCGCTACATACCATGAAGTATAAGTAGGGAAATAGAGACTGGATCGGTAGCGCTGGAAAGATAACAGACCAGGGTGTTAGTTAGCAAGCCCTAAAATTTATAAGATATAGCTGATCTAATCATCTAAAACAACCTAAAAATATGTAAAGTTTTTATTTTTCTTACAGATTAATTCAGGTGCAAAAGAAAATTGGAGTTTCGTAAACAAATCGCATGGCTAATGAATAAGTGCAGAAAGACCCAAACATGTTTGGGAGTTGGGACCATGCATGTCTAGATGTTGCGAAGTCCGAAATCGTCATCAGAGTATATATTGATTCAAATCGACTGGATGGTGTACCCCTAGTTATCATCCTGAATGGCATATATAGACGTACATTAGACAATCTGGATGTTAGGACATACTCCCTCAATTCCACAATGTAGCGCATATTTTGTTTTCCGAAAGACAAATACGTCTATATACTTGATCAAGTTTTAAAAAATATCAACATCTACAGTACAATATTCAGTAGCATTACCTTCACCAGGAAGTATAATTTTATATTTTCTACATCCTCCAGATAATACCACTATTATCAGGGAGGATGCATCATGCATGGCCTGGCCAGCGCCCACATACGTACGACGGTACGGATAGAGTAGGCACCCACCCGATCTACTCGTCGGCACCATGTAGTGTAGTCCATGCCATACGATATGATACGGCCATTTTCCTAGATGCAGGTTTGGCCTAGTGCAATTTACACTACTAGAAGAATGCGAGCTAAGATAAATGTAGGCAACCAAACGGCATGCATGCAGAATATGATCCAGAGCCTGTATACCCTTAAACAGGCTCCATTGATGATCCGATCGAGACGGACCGGAGCCATTGGAGTACATCATATATCACGTGAGAAACATGTACAACTAGACAAACCACTGACACGTCTGTCATGCTATTTCCGCTTTCCATCACCCAGCCGATGGATCATTTCTTTAAAACTCAGTACAAATGCGGATTCTCATATACGCACACACACACGAACGTTCGTCTATATGGATGCACGCACACACACCCTTCGAAAGGCTCAAATCATGAGGTCAGTGTGAAAACCTAGCAGAGAGGGGGGATTGATTTGTTGGTCTGTTAGGCAAAATGCCATGGTTAATCTATCTATCTAGTCCTGCGAAACTCCCATGCTTGCGCAACATAACATGCAGGTAGGTAAGGTTTCAAGTGAGAGGTTTGTGCCCCATCAAGGAAGAAGAAGAGGACTGATTCCATCTCAAAAAATGGAAGAAGAAGAAGAAGAGGCAAGTAATGAACTCTGTAGCTGGTGACTTAACCAGCAGGTCATCTTAATGGAATAGCATCTGATCCTTCCAAGGAATTTCAAAGAAAGCTTTCCGCAAAGAAAAGGAATTTCAAAGAAAAGGAAAAAACGAGACCAAGAGACAGAGGTGACGACGGCTCACTCACCGGCGCAGAGGCAGACGACCCAGACGTAGAAGAAGTTGAGGTAGGGGACGCCGGCGTTGGTCTTGTTGGTCTGGTCCAGGCTGCACCCGGGGCACCCCTCCTTGCACACCCTCCTCCCCTTCGCCAGCAACGGAGCAGCCGCCGCCGCCATTGCCTCCGTTGGCTGTGCTATGGCTCGCTGGGCAGCAGACAAGTGAACAATAAGGGAATGTGGTGGATCAGATCGGATGTCCTCTGCTCAGCTCAGCTCAGCTCGCTCTCGGCCGGTCCGTCCGACAAGTGCGTCAGTAAAAAAAGCACAAGGTACTCGGCGACGACTCTTGTTCCTAGTCTTGTGTTATAAGCGATCGACTCGAATCCCGTCCGTGCATCCTCCATAGGGATATGCATTCGTACTGAGTGAAATCCGGTGTGTTCCATCATTACCACGGCAGCGTGCAACGTTTGATTCTCCTACTCACGTGACAAAAGATTCTGCAGCATGCACTTATCTGTACCGAACGTGTTGTATACCCAGTCTGTGACTAGTGGGCCTCCCAATAGAGCTGCTGGCCCCACAACAAGGATAATGATGCTTCCAAGTGATTTGATTAAGTTAAGCTGCTCAAGTGCTGTGTTTTTTTTAGGACCTCAAGTGCTGTGTTTTATTCCAATGCAGGAATTAGGTTGGCTTCTAGACTCTTCTTTTAACACAATACAATCGCAGATGGTTTGAAACATACACATGCATACACTCGTCTCTATAAACACATGCACAACCTATCTTAATGAGCACCTCTGGAAAATTGAGCTATCACAACATCTTGAGGTTGACAAAGTCATCATAGACGACGTGTAATTGACGGAAACGTCTCCTCCCCTAAACGAACATTGCTGGAAAGGCTGAAATAAATCTAGAAAAATACGAGCACCGGTGCAAAGCCTAGGGATTGAACCCTGGTGGGCGTACCAGCACACTGATCTAGGTGAACCGCGGCCAGGCCAAGACCCACGGCCGATTCAAGACACGAACCTTTCTTTCCCAATGCATGGACGCTTGTTTTGGTACACATGAATATTTACCTTTTTAGGGTGTGCTATTTTTTTCTATGTTAAAATAATTTTTATACTAATTTAGCATACATTAAATATAAATTCTCAGATTTATATTTTTTTTAGTGTCTCAGATATATATATATATATGATAATGAAGAAGAAATAGTGATTGTGCGAGCCGTGCATTTGCGCGGCCCATAAGGAGTAGAGCCCGTCAGGGGAGGATACTACTACTACTCCACTCCCGCGGTGGCGATTGCGGCCCACGCGCACACGGAGGTAGGCGGCGCGCGTGCACCCTCCTGCCTGCCCCCATCCATCCCCTCGTCCCCTCCGCCGGCGCCGGCGCGATGGCAGGCGACGCGCCGCCGATGAAGAGGCCCAAGCTGGAGAAGGACGACGGCTGGTCCCGCCACCCCTCCGCCGCCAACGGCTCCGCGCCCAGGCCCCCCGCCGCCTCCCCCAGCCAGGCGCCGCCGCCGGACGGGGAGGAGGACGACGGCGAGCTCCCGGAGGAGGCCGTGCTCGCGCTCATCGCCCACCACGAGCGCGAGGTCGAACGCTACAAGCTCAAGGTACATCTCACCTCCCCGCTCCCGTCCCCCCTTTGGTTCTTGGTGATGAAAGATCGATCCTCGCGTCCGCAGCTGGAAGCCGCCGAGAGGAAGCTGGCCGACACGCGGTCGAGGCTCGCCCGGCACCGAGGCCGCGCCCCCAATCGGAGCCACCCGCCCCCGCCGCCGCCACCGCCCGTCCAGAAGGCCGCCGCGCCGGATCGCAGGACGCCGCCACCGAGCCAGAGGGAGGCCCCCAAGCCGGCGGCGCAGAGCCAGAAGCCCCCCGCGCCGCAGGCGAGGCCGCAGCTCGTCATCCCGGGGGCAGGCCACAGCCGTCCAGCCCCGCGGCCCGCTTTGCCCGTACCGAAGAAGTCCCCGTCGTCATCGTCGCCGTCTTTGGCGCAGGCGCCGCAGAGGAAGGCGGACAAGAAGCCCAAGCGAGAGATCGGTACTTCCCGCGGCTCGTCCGCTCTAGGGCAGCAGTTTACCCTATAGAATTCGATCTCCGTCGATATGCATGATGATGCAAGCCTGGTTCTGTTTTTCCTGTTTTGCAGTGCAGAGAGAACATCAGAACTTGGTTCAGAGCGTCAAGAAGTCGTCTGCGCCGACGACGCTTAAGTTCTACGGCGGCACCCTGGTCTCCAGCCAGCACAAGAGGAAGCTTAGGTGTCTTGAGCTGTGCCCTGCTGATGACCAGCTCGTCGTTACAAGGTACTAGTATGCTCGACTGGCTATCATAAATACACTACTACCAATGACCTAAAATTAATGCGCTGAGGGAGAAAACTAAATTTGTCGAATTCTAACTCATTTGCCGAACAAACTTGGTCAAAGAGTTGCCTCTGAGTCGAGAAAAGGATGAATGAAAATGATGCAGGCTAGTAACCCCAAAACACCAATAAGTCCTGATCTTCTTAAATGCATTTGTGTCTAATGTTAGCCATGATATGGTCATGAACTGGGGAAAAGTGTTACAAGGGTGAAACCGCTGTTGACATGGATACTCTAATTTGCTTAGGGAAATGGTTGATTTTTTGTCAATTATTCATCTCCGCGTACATGTTACAGAGTAAACTATGTAACCAAATATAATAAATGTGACATCTGTTAAGTTTTCGTAATTTCTGCTGGACATAGAACTTTGGTCTTATGTTTCCTTGTGATGCAGTGCATTGGATGGAATGGTGACTCTCTGGCAAGTACAGTCAAGTGGGTAAGCCTCATATTGCCTCGTTTCTCTTCATGATATATCTCACTTTTATTTCTGGGAAGTGTTACTTGACTCCCAAAACGTATGGGAGATAGTGTTACTTGTATCGACTTGTAGTGGAAAATAAAATTAGAATAAATGTGTGCCACCACTATAGTCGTAATGAAGTTAATCAAAGTACTCCCTCCGATCCATATTACTTGTTGCTGCTTTAGTACAACTTTAGTAGGTGTTTGCTCGGAGATAGAAGATGCATTTGCTCAAATTAAAACCCATAACTTATATATGCCTTCTTGCAGACTAGGCAGTACTTAGTGAAAGTTTCGCCATATGATATTACATTTGCTCCCAGCAGGAGCAGTAGGCAATGATTTTTACTCTCTACATGCTCATGTTGATGCTAAGCTAGAATAAATACATGCTAGTAATTGTATTGTGTATGAGGATTCTTTATTTTATTTATGATGCTCACATGCTAAGTTTTCATGAAGCTCACACACTTTTATTGCAAAATTTAGCATCTGTTGGCTGATGCTCTCTTGCATTGTCTGTGCCCTGCCTCACCTCATACACTTTCACTGTACCGAGATATTAAACCCAACATCTTAGGTTCATATCCTAAGGTACATCCAGTGGGCTAGTGGCTGGCTGGCTGACAAGAATGTGTCAACATTTTTACCAAGTGACATAACAAATATCTACATGGCATTACGGCCAAATTTCCCCATCACTCCTGTAGCGTGCCAATGAAACGGCATCCTATATAGTAGATTTAACTCTGGTATGGATGTTCAGGTGACACACAACTGTAGCTAATGTCATAGGTTGTCACACTTGCCAGCCCACAACGATAAGTGGAAAACTTTGGCAACTTCTGCAAACTGTAATTATCAGAAAGGGTGGTCCTGAACCAACGAGACCCCTGGTACCATGTCGTTTGTTCCAGCAACAGAGCGCCTACATAGAAAACTGACACATTTCTAAGGCTATGAACTGGATAAATGGCTAACTACAAGGGCTCCCTAGACATGAGGCATGACAACATTATAGTCATAATGAAATCAATAAAATAACTATGTTTGTCTGGAGATAGAAGATGCATTTGCTAATTTAAAAGCAATAATTTCTATATGCCTTCATGCAGACTAGGCAGTAGTTAGTGAAAGATTTGCCATATAATACTACATTTTTTGCCAACTTGAGCCGTGGGCAATGGTTTGTACTCCCCACATGGTCATATTGATGCTAAACCAGAATAAATACATGCCAATGATTGTATTGTATATGCGGATTCTGTATTTTATTTACGAAGCTCACATGCTAAGTTTTTATGAAATTCACGTGCTTTTATTGCAAAATTTAGCCATTTAGCATCTGTTTGCGTGTTTTGTTCCTCGGTACAAAAGCCAGGTAGATTGGCTGGTGTTCTCCTGCATTGTCCATGCCCTGCCTCACTTCATACACTTTCACAACACCGGGATATTAAATCCAGTATCTTAGGTTTGTATCCTAAGATACAGCCAGTGGGCTGTGTTTACATTTTTACCAAGTGACATAAGAAACACATTACAGCTAAATTTCCCCATCACTCCTTCAACGTGCCAATGAAGCGGTCTCCTATATATTAGATTTAACTCCAACGTGGTATGTATATTCATTCACATGACAGATTCATATACTACTGATTGGTATCATGAAATAGTAATATTTGAGTCCATGTACCTCATATAGTATTCATTTTATGTGTCAATGGGGAAAAGATAACTATCAATTGATAACGTTTTGTTGTAGCAATATGAAATTAGCGAGCTTCTGATTTTTATTGTATGCATTGCCTACTTATGCATTGCCTTCTGCAGTAGCAGTATTTTCGCAGAAGATGACACACTATGATGTTCATCACTTGAAACATTGCATGGGAAGCTGGTGCATGTAACCTCTTATAGTCTGGAGAATTAATTCAAATGGTTCTGGAGCTGCATGTTTTTTTGTTTTATTTAAGCATGCTTTGAATTAGAATATTTGTACTTGCAGGCCATCCATCTCTTTGCTTAGCACTACAAATTGCTTTTCTTCAAAGCAAAGGTGGCCTGAGGATGTAGCTTGGCATCCAGATGGTGACACAATTTTTGCCGTATATACTGCTGATGGTGGTGACACCCAGGTTTCAATGATGAATCTTAACACATCAGGACAAGTAAGAACTCTGTTTAATCCTTGAAGTAGCACCACGCATTCCATCTATTATCATCCATTACAAGGTTTTGTGGTTATAAAATAACACTGTTACAGTGAACTGGATTGGTTTCATGGGCAGTTCAGATCCATCAAATATCATTTTAGCTAGAAACACTCACATGTGAAGGAGTGTTTTAATACCAGAATTTATCTCTGTGCATTTTGAATCAGAATATTTTGTTATTTTAAATTAAATCAGGTTAGATAGGAATTGGTAGGTGCCCTTTTAAGTTATTCCTGTTTTCATATCCACCAAATACCCTGAATTTCTACTTCTCCTTTGTGCAATAATAATTGCTGCTGACACAGCAGTACATCGAATTTATAACCATTGCTCTCAAAATTAGGTACAGCAATACATCGAATACATCGAATTTATGACCATTGCAATAATAAATAGTTCCGTTAGTGTGATTATGCGGCTATGTTTATTTTACTCTGCCATTTATATGTGGATGCATCAGTGACCCAATGTGATCTGTAGTTATGTCATGTACTGTAAAAGCTTTCAAGAACCCATGTGGTCATTTGTACCACGCAATTATGCTTTTATGTTGTTTCTTTTGGATAACAGATGAGTTACTTTCAACATTACTAAAATGTTCTTTCATGATCTTTCCCGTGAAACAGAAGAAAGTTACTTTCCTGCAAGCGAAGCCTCATACCAAGGGAATCATAAACAACATAAATTTCATGCCCTGGTCTGATACATGCTTTATGACTGGTGGAAGTGACCATGCCGTCGTGCTCTGGCAAGAGAAAGACGATTCATGGAACCACAAGAAAGTGCACAGGGATCTGCATTCTTCTGCTGTCATGGGTGTTGCCGGTTTGCAACAGAGAAAAACAATAATATCAGTCGGAATGGACAAGAGGATAATATCATATGATGTCTCAGCTGAAAGGGCAGAGTACAAGAACCTGATTGATAGCAAATGCTTGAGCGTGTTACTAAATCCAAGTGATTTCAACCTATACATGGTACAAACAGGGTAAGTGGGCTTCTAATGCTGCTTCTGATTATCGGGTTCCATTTTGCACCTAAACCTCACTCATTGCTTTAAAATACTTTGTATGTTTGCGTAGAAAAACAGATGTCCTTGTATGTTTCTCATTTGCAGTCCTGGGTGCAATCTGTTCCCTCTGTGCCTTTTGGGTGTCGGTGCTGCAAGCTAAACCTTTTTATGTTTCTAATAACAGGTCGCCAGGGAGGCAGCTTCGCTTGTTTGACATCAGGCTGAGGCAGACGGAGGTTCACGCGATCGGTTGGAAGCAAACGAGCAGCGAGTCCCAGTCAGCCCTGATAAACCAGTCGTGGTCTCCGGACGGCTGGTACTTATCATCTGGGTCAGCAGACCCTGTGATCCATATCTTCGACATAAGGTACCAAGGCCAGAAGCCCTGCCAGTCGGTGCAGGCGCACCAGAAGCGGGTCTTCAAGGCCGTCTGGCACCAGACCTTCCCAGTTTTGACCTCCATCTCGTCGGACCTCAACGTCGCGATCCACAAATACTGATGGAGACAGCCAACATGTGGATCAATCGCCATTTTTATTGCGAGCTCGCGAAACACGGCGCATCAGGTTCCAGGAAGCTTCTTAGTTCACACATGGGATGCAATGCATCAACGGGGAGTTCCAGAGGAGGCATCTGCACTTTCTCAGCTACATTCAGATTGATGCATCTAGAGGCAGGCCGCACTAGTCGAGTGTTTTGCAACTTCTCCCTGTGGAGAAGTACACGAGAAATCTCACGTATGTCGAAAACTGTTCCGGAATGGTTTTCTTTCCTCTGCTTAGCATTTTCTTTTTGTTGGCAATGTAAGTCTTGGCTCAGTTGGTACATTTGAAAGTAGAAAAGCATCTGGAGACCTAGTGTCAAAGTGACAAGTCTCAGTTGAGTTGAAAGGATCCTCCACCACCTGCTCTTGAGTCCAAAACCTTGTGTGGTCTGAATCTCAAACCCTCAGTGGTCACTTAGAGTTGTCCAGTGGAACTTGACAGGTGGCATATTGCATAATTCAGTTTTTTTTTTGAAAGCATATTGCACAATCCAGTTGGTTGCTCCAGCCGACAAGCGGACACGTCACGTCGGCCGTCTCTTCCGTCTTGCATTTTTTGCTTAGCCAAGTTTATTTATTTATTGATGTGTTAAAATTGCGAAATATTAATTCCTCTTCAAAAAAAAAAGTTGCTAAATGATTTGCAGACAAACTATTCGGATCCGTTAATTTGTGATTCCGCAGAAATTGCGGGAATGTCTTGAAGACTAGAATGTTCCTCTGAAGATGAATAATATCGTTGTCGGCGTGGTGCAAAAACCGTGTAGAAATGGATCTTGTGGCGATAGCAACGGTTTCTAGGAGAGGCAATTGCATCCGCACATTTGTTATCGGCATCCATCCAACCCTGTCTGTGGATCCTTCTCTGTAGCTGGTTGGTTGGATTCGCATGGTCTGGGCGGGGCCTTTGCAGAGGCATTGCATGGGGTGCAAGCATGGCACCGTGGTGTGGGTCTTGCCCCCACCACCATGATGAACAAAGTTGTTGCTAAAGGTACCATGCACGGATGCACCACACAGCAAGCAACCAAAATTCTAGGGGCTTCTACAGCATGGCATCAAAATTCAAAACTTCATTTAAACTGAAATTAGTACTCCCTCCGTTCCTAAATATAAGTCTTTGAAGACATTCCACTATAAACCACATACGGAGTAAAATGAATGAACTACACTTTAAAATGCATCTATATACATCCGTATGTGGTTCATAGTAAAATATCTACAAAGACTTATATTTACGAACGGAGGGAGTACAAAAGATGACTATATTCCGTGTAAGATTGGAAAAGATGACTATATTCCGTGTAAAATGGAATGTTTTTCTTCTGAATGCAGCTCAATCTTATTGGTGTAGCTTAACATAAATCTACCTCCTCGATCCGCTTATAAGACCGAGCCCATGTGTATTTTCTAGGAGTGACTAGGGCTTAGTCGACTTGAAAATTTCATATTCATCGTACCAAAAACTCCTTATCCATTTTATATTGTCTTTTTCTTTATGAAATACCCAGATATACTATCAAAGTTCAACGAAAGTACAAAGTACCTCAAACATAATAAAAACTGAGCCGAGGTCTCTGGACCACCGAGTGACCACTACTACCACTAAAACAAGCCGCAGACTATACCGGAGCCAGCTGAACTTGTCGATGACAACCGGGAAGCAGTGGCGAATCAACTGGGTAGGCGTTAATAGGCTTGAGCCTGCCCTCCAGCAATGCAAAAAAGAAATTAGTAGTGAATAGTATACGTTCCCACCAGTATTATGGCAATCCTAACCTTCTTTTTTTTTGCCGGTAAATTCTAACCTTCTTTCAACAAAAGAATTGAGAGTTAATGGCTTTCCTTTTTCACACCGTTAACTTTGAGTCTGTCCTTGATTTTCATTCAAGATTCTCCACTGCCGGGAAATCTTCATGCACGTGCCCTTAAGAGCCAGCGCTATGGAGAGGTAGTCGCTGCCATTAAATTCTTGAATCATTATGTGGTGCTTAAATCAGCTCTCACCGCCGCGCACATATGGCGAGACACCCTAACCCAGCTGCCGGAGTGGCAGGCAGATCCAGGATGTGGCCGATGGAGCTATGAGGGGAGCAGAACTTTGCCTTAGCCGCCTTAGCCACCTTAGCTCAAGGGAAAGGAAAAATCCCATTTTGCGTTGTCTTGTCTGCCATAATTTTTAAATACCTTTTTTATAAACTTTTATAAGACGTTTTTAGGTCATTAGGTTTTTTTTTTTGAGTCGCTTGAGAAACAAGAAAGCCAATCGTTTTCTCCTAGGCAATATGAAAGCCCGGTTTGGTTTATGCGGCAAATATGAAAGCGGAGTTTTCTTTATGATCTCATAGAATGCATAGAAACAACTTATTTTCCTGTGGTAAAAAAACATTCTTACCCTGAGGTCTCACACCTGGCACCTTCCAGAAAGATCTACTGTTGCTGTAAACCAAAGTGATGTGTCCAAACATTAGTCGGCCAAGCGTTGCTATATAACCCGCCGGGAGAAAAAATACGCCGGGAAAAGGAGACCGGCCGGTTGGGTTTGGTTGGTTGGTCGCACTCGCACTCCCTCCTCTCCATCCATCGCCACCACCACCTTATCATCTTCCCCATCATCGTCATCCTCAGTTCCTCACAACACCCACTCAACGCCGGCGTCGTCTTCACTGCCGTCGCCGCTCGACATGGCCACCACTCAAGGTCAGGAGCCACGCGTTTCGCTGCTTCGTTGTTCTTGCGTGGTTACTCGGTCGGTTTCTTGTTTGTGGCGGGAAGAATTGGATTAGAGAGATGATGGGGAAATTAAGCTTTGCTTGTGGATTGTTTGGGCAGAGGCGGAGAAGACGAGCGTCGTCGAGGCCGTGGAGGAGGCTTCCCCGGCGGCGGCTGCGGCGCCGGCGGAGGAGAAGACGAGCGTCAAGGCCGTGCAGGAGCCTTCCCCGGCGGCTGCGGCGCCGGCGGAGGAGAAGACAAGCGTTAAGGCCGAGGAGGAGCCTTCCCCGGCGGCTGCGGCAGCGGAGGGGCAGCGGCGGCCGCCTGCGGCTGCGGCGGCGCGCAGGGCGGGTGCTCCGGCCAGCCCATTCGACTTCTCCACCATGATGAACTTGCTCAACGTAATCAAGCTCTCACTGAAGCATTTTACAGTTTCTGCAGAATTATGAATGCTCCGTTTTGCTCTGTTCATTTCAAGCATGAGAGTTCTTGGAAGATTTATGTTTACAAGTTTGAATCAATATTTTAAGTAGCGCGCTACAAAATATAGCGAGGCCCTTCTCTAAATGCTACACAAGTTATAGTGTGCTAATAGCGTGCTATATTTCAAAATAGCGTTTGCAAAAAAAATCAAATATATATCTAAAAATAAAGTATTTAAGCAACTAAATTTTTCATAGGAGCAAGCAATATATGCATCTGATAAAAGGAGTAAGAAAGCTAGTGGGAGAATCTGATAAAAGGAGTGAGAAAGCTAGTGATCGTGGGTTGATTTTGGCCTGCTGGGTTGTGCTTATTTCAGTTTTGCATGGTCTGCGCGTTATAACGTTACAACGTTACAACGTTATAGCGTGTGTAGCGCGCTAATTACGCGTTTAGCGCCGTAGCGTCCGATTTTGCCAAAACGTAACGTCTCCCTTCCAAATATGCTATAACCGCGTTATAACGGCGAAATAGCGTGCTATTTAAAATATTGGTTTGAATCGGTTGCTAATTTGCTTCTATTTCACTGAAGAAATTTGGGATCATTTTAACAAATTTGAATCCTGAATTTTGTGGCGTGGCGTGCACTGCAGGACCCGAGCATCAAGGAGATGGCGGAGCAGATCGCCAAGGACCCGTCCTTCAGCGAGATGGCGGAGCAGCTGCAGAAGACGGTGGCGCCGGCGCCGGCGCGCTCGCCGCAGGAGGTGGCGGCCGCGCTGGACCCGCAGAAGTACGTGTCGACGATGCAGCAGCTGATGCAGAACCCGCAGTTCGTGGCCATGGCGGAGCGGCTGGGCAGCGCGCTGATGCAGGACCCGGCCATGTCCTCCGTCCTGGGCGGCCTCACCAACCCCGCCCACAAGGAGCAGCTCCAGGCCCGCGTCGCCCGCATGAAGGACGACCCCTCCCTCAAGCCCATCCTCGACGAGATCGAGTCCGGCGGCCCCGCCGCCATGATGAAGTAACCGCCTCCTTCTCTCCGGCATCAATGGCGATGCGGTCGATCAATCTTGATATCGCTTGGTATTCTGTCAGGTACTGGAACGACCCGGAGGCGCTGCAGAAGTTCGGCCGCGCGATGGGCGTGGGCCCGTCGGGCGCCGCCGCCGGAGCTGAAGCCGAGGCAGAGGAGGAGGAAGAGGTTGCTGCCGGCGAGGAAGGGGAGTACGAGGAGGAGTCTATCATCCACCAGACGGCGAGCGTGGGCGACGTGGAGGGGCTGAAGAAGGCGCTGGCGGAGGGCGTGGACAAGGACGAGGAGGACTCGGAGGGGCGGCGGGGGCTGCACTTCGCGTGCGGCTACGGCGAGCTCGGGTGCGCGCAGGCGCTGCTGGAGGCCGGCGCCGCCGCGGACGCCGTGGACAAGAACAAGAACACCGCGCTCCACTACGCCGCCGGCTACGGCCGCCAGGAGTGCGTCGCGCTGCTCGTCGACCACGGCGCCTCCGTGTGAGTACTGCGTAGCCATCGCATCTCATCTCATCTCCCGCGCCGCCGCCATGCATGATCGCATCACCTGCTTGCTCGCTGACATAGTAATCTAAGTACATACTGACGACGGAGCTCGATCATGGCGGAATGAAAATGCAGGACGCTGCAGAACCTGGACGGGAAGACGGCCATCGACGTGGCGAGGCTCAACAGCCAGGAGGAGGTGCTCAAGCTGCTGGAGAAGCACGCCTACGTCTAGACGCCGTCGCCGTCGCCATGCCATCAGTCGATCTCGCAGTTTGCTTAAATTTATTATTATTGTTTCAG